TGCCACCATAGGGTGTCTGTGATCAGGAACAAGGACCCAGATACTCATGACTCCTCTGTGGGGAGCTGGGGGGACCAAGTGTCCAATTTTTTCCTTATTTACCACCCTCTCCTCTCCCCATGTATCTGTGCAAGGAACTTTAACAAAACTGGACTAGTGACAAACTGGAACATCCTTTCAATAGAATAAAACTGAGCAAGGCAAAGGAATGAACTATTCATCCATGTAGTACTGATAATCACCTGAATAAACTTCAAGGGCATTATTCTGAGTGGAAAAAAAAGAACCAATCTTGAAAGAGCACATGTCTAGCAACGGAGAAGAGATGAGTAGTTGTCAGGGATGAGAGAAGGCAGGGGAGGATATCATTATATATGGTAGCACAAAAGAGTTCCTTCATGGTGATAGTTTTCTATCTTGAATGTGATGCTGGTTATAAGAATCTACACACATGATAAAATGCTACTGAATTATATGCAAATATTTTTTTTCAAAGTATATGCAAAACAGGTAAAATCCAGGTAAGGCCTGTAGACAATTCATTGTATCATACTAATCTCAAGTTCCTAGTTTTGGTAATGTACTATAATTATATAAGATGCTGCTTCTGGGGGAAGCTGGGTGATGAGTACATGAGACCTCTCTGTAATATTTTTGCAACTTCTCGTGAGCCTGTAATTAACTCAGAGTAAAATGTGTAATTAATATATGTAAATATTGATTGGTCATCTACTAATTTTCACACTCTGGTATAAGCACTGGGGACCAGGCAAAAACAAAACATAAAAGTCCCTCATGGCACTTTCATTCTAGTGGGAAAAAAAGATAAGGAGAAATTGACAAGCATGGTGGATACACACTAAGGTGACTCCAGGCAGTTCCCACCCTTGCATAATCCCCACCTCTTGGTGTGAGACAGACCTGTGACTTGCTTCTAACCAACAGCATATGACAGAGCTGATGGGATGGCACTCTCCTGATGAGGTGACCCCGTGTGGCAAAAGCAATGGATGCTGCCCCTGTGATGACATCCCTATATAAACTGATGCCATCTTGCCAATTCACACAAGAATGGCTCTTCTGCTGGCCTTCAAGCAGCAAGCTGCTATGATGCAACGTACCTATGGACAGGGCCACACGGTGGAGGGCTGCGGGCAGCCTTTAGGAGATAAAGGCCTCCGTCACACAACAGCAAGGAACTCAATTCTGCCAAAAATCCCGTGAGCTTGTGAGAAAACACTGAGCCTCAGATGAGACTGCCTTGGCCAAGACCTTGACTACAGCCTAGGAGACCCTAAACAAAGGAGCAGCTAAGCTGTTCCAGACCCCTCACCCACAGACTCTATAACAAATGTGTTTGAAGTCACTAGATTTGTAACAACTTGTTACACAGCAATAGACAACTAATACAGCAAATAAAAACATAACCTGTCAGGTTGAGGTAAATGCTATAGAGAAAAATAAGGGGGATGGGAGTGTATGTGCATGCACGTGCATGAGTGTTTTAAAGAGAGTGGCCAAAGAAGGCCTGTCTTGTGTTTGAGTGTTTCACTGGTTTGTCCTCATGGTCTGTAGGCTCCCTGGGGGCAGCACAGCCTTGCTCTCCCTGAACACCCAGGGCCCGGCATAATGCAGAGCTCAAAAGCTGACAGGAAGTCCACCAAGCGCTATTTTCCAAGATCCCAAACCCTTTGAAGGTATAGACCACATTTTCCCTCTCTGTAGCCCCTCAAATAGTTACCCCACATGGTTAGCATTCAATAATCCCTGGCACTATTCTTAGTCTCCAACTTTCTCCCTGGCCCTGCCCCTCTCATCTTAATCATATCCTGGGTCACCTCTCCACATCAGGGTCACCTTTTCCAGCCGGGTCTCCAATTCTGACACTTCAGCTTCTACCAGCTCAATAGAGGCCCTGGGAAAGGAGGGATGAGGTCATGGGGACAGAGTATAGGTCCATCTGGTCTGTATGCATCAGCAGAGGTGCCTTGGCAGAGTCCAGGGTTGGGGTTGGGGGTGGAGGGTAGAGACAGGAAAAGCTGATGGGTTAAGAAGACCCAAGCACCCACCCTCTCTTGCTCACTCACTCTGCAGTGTGGGAGCTACTGCAGCCAGGCCAGAGCAGGAAGGGTAGGAGGGTGGATGTGGTGCAGGCAGGAAGTTGCTAACCGCCCAGAGCAGGTGCTGGGGGAGGGGCAGGGGCCCCAGTGAGAGGGAGAAGGGAATGCCCTCTCTGGGGGGTGAGAGGCTGAAGAGGGCCCCTCTACACCTCAGTGGGTAGCAAGCATCTGAGCAGGGGGCTTGAGAGCAGAAGTATAACTTTGGCCCACATGCTCCAACTTGTCCCTTTGAGATTTATCGCCTGGAAGGACATCGGGCCCGAGGAACAGTTATATGTGTGTGTATGTTGTGGGGTGGCAGATCCCCCTCTTGGCCTCCAAAACTGTGCACACTTACCGGAAGCGGGGTGAGTCCTTAAGACATTCCTCAAAATCCAACTTGACTGTCATCTTCTCTTGACTGCTGGAGGGGCCAATGGGCCCTGGGGGCCAGGCAGGTTGGGGATGCGGGTAGAGGTGCTCCCTGCCCCAGGAGGGGTGTTGATGAGGAAGGAGAGGGTCCTCTCCTGGGTAGAACCTGGGGTGCCACAATTCTTCCCCCAAGGGAAAGGAGAGTCCCAGGAGGAGCTCTCACCCCAAACTTCCAGGCAGCTGCCGGGAGGGGCAGAGGCGGGGCCTGGGCCCAGGGCGGAGGAGAGGGGTCTGAGATCAGAGAAGCCACAGCCCCGCCCTCAGACTATCAGCTGTCACCTTCCTGCAGGGGCCCTGGTCTCTCAGCTTCTTTCTTCTTTAGTGGCTGACTTTGGGGGGCCTGGCAGATAACAGGTTCAAACACTGGTTCTGTCACTTGGAGGTTTTGGGAGCCTGGGCAAGCTCTGTGATTCCTCTTGTGGAAGATGGGGACGATAACCCCCACCTCCAGAGTTGTTGTCAGAATGAAAAATGACAAATTTGTGATTGACTGAAATACACAGTCATTGTCATCCTGCTTCAGTTGGGCCTCCTCAAACTCCTGAGTTCTTGAGTCCAGTCCCCCAGACCACCTCAAGCTTTCTTCTCTGCTGTCTGCCGGCTCGTGGTTTCCTGTGGGTGAATCCCTCCTCTTCCCCGCCCCTCAGTGACTGAGCAGGTCCAGCCCGGGTCCCCAATTCACAGCACCCAGACTCCTGCTCTTCTTCTCTTTATTGTCTACACCTGCGAGGTGAAGGCAAGGGAAGTTTGGCCCCAACCCCATCCCCAGCAGGCTACATTTTCCATTGTTTGGCTTCTTCCTCCTGAGCTCATGGAAGCTACTGGGTTTCATCTGGGGAGAAAAGAGGCTGTGGTCGTAGCTTTTTTGCAGCAGGCATGAGATCTGGCCCTACAGCCCCCAGATGCCATGGAACCTACCCACTCAGACCTCTTTCTCCCTGGCCAGGGCAGACAGTCCCTTGTCTGCGCCTGGGTTCACATCTGTGCTGGTTTGGGTTTGGGGAGTTTGGGTTGCTTCCCGCTTTCCTCTCTGGGCTTTCTGGGCTTCTCAAGTTCAACTCTTTAGTTACCAGCCAATGACACCAGCTGGGGGCTGCTTGAGACCCACTGTCTTTGGAGGACAGGGCAGTACCTGGAGTAGGGTAGGTGACAGAGAGGAGTTAGGGCGGAGGCCTGGGGCCAGCAGGTGGTGCCAGGCTGGAGGAGGTCCCAGTCCCTTCTGAGCCTCCTTGGCTCCTCTCCACCCTGCACACCAGGCCACTCAGGGCCTCTCTGGGCACTTGTTGCTGATCAGCTGACCTTAAAGGAGTGGGGCTTAGGGGAATGGGAGCTTGGGAAGAGCCAAGCCCAGTGAGATGGTGGCCTGGTGGCCTGACCAGGCTGCAATGGTGTCACTGTAACCATCAAGGAGTTCTTGGTGGCCTCGTGATTCAGAAAGGGGTTTCCTGTGTGGTCCAGCCAATGGACCTCAGTGCTTATAGGATTCTCAATTACCCAGTTCAAGCTTGTGGAATCTGCAAGCACCAGGTGATCAGAGTTGGGGCACCCATCAGTTTGTTAGTTCTCAGCCCTCCCACCGCCAAGGCTGACTGGTTCCAGCTCTCACTAATCTGCTCATCTTCTGTGTCATTGTCAAGCTCTGGGTGGGGACAGCACCTCAGGTATCTTCCTTTGCTACCATAATCCTTGTGTTGCTGACTAATCTTCTGTTCCAGTGTGATGATGGTTGAAGCTGAATGCTGATTTATGAAGGTAGGGGAATCTGAGGAATCACCAAATCAATGTGAGTCTTATGGCCTCCAGATGTCCACTGTGGCCCCCCCCCACTACAAAGGAGAAGCTCAAGCCCCAGGTTCCCATCTCACTTCTATTATCTCTTCCATTTTAGAAAACCTCAGTGACCTCTCCATACCCCACAGTTCTCTTGGGTTTTCTGTTCCTCATCAGCCAGCCTTCCCTGGCGACTATCCTGGTGAACACCCCATCCCAGCTGCCCTCTGTCACCTCCCAGTATTACCTCCCTCTCAGGCAGCAGGGCCCTAGGCTGATGCCCACTGAGGAAGACAGGCTATAGTGGAGAAGGCTCTGGACTATAATTCCCTTGAGTCCCTGGGGTCCCACCAGAGCTAACCCTTGGCTTCTTGGGTGTGGTTCCTGGTCACCAGGCCAATCTCATCTTTGACTCCTCTGGCCTCCTTCCCTGCCTCTCTCTGCAGGCATGGGTTCTGGGGCTGGGATCACACCCCAACTGCCACTGCCCACACTGATGCTACTTCCACTGCTTGTCTTATTATCCAAGGGCAGGTTTTTCTGAGCCTTGAGGAACTTTGCTTCATTGTAGTGTGCCTTGCGGTGCTTCTCAAAATCACTGGAGTCTGTGGGCCAGTGTAAGAGCCTGTGTTTCCTGTCAGGTTCTTATTAAAGGTTCACTCTTCCTCCCCTTTCCATCCAATCCCCACCCCTTATCTCACGTGTCTTGGAAAAGTCATCTGCAGACCCTTGAGTTTCTGTTATGACTGTACTGGAGAACCTTGGGGTAGAAATTGTCCACTGTTGCAAACCTGGAGGGGAAGGAAACTAGTTGGGGGTACCAGTGGGAGAGAACAATGGGGGCAGGTGGTAGAGGGACCATGCTGGCTGACTCCCCCACCTTGGCCTTGGTTAGCCCTGAAGGGAATGTAGTACCTCTCATTTTGGGGACCAAACAGTAGAGATGGCTCAGACCCCAGAGTTTGGGGGAAGGAAGAGGCTCCACATCCCTACTGATATCTGGCAGGACTCTCACCTCTCTGCTAGTGCCTCGGGAGTCACTGCACGGGAGGACCCTGCATGCAGGTCCTCATCGCTATCCTGCAGCCTGCTCAGGAGAGGAAGCAGTACGGAGAAAGGGCATCGGTCAGTATCCAGTCCCTAAATCCTCTCTGAATGCCCACCACCCTTTGAATGAGGAAGAGAGTTTGGGCTGAAAGGCTAAGTAAGGCTGGGCTTAGCACCTGTGATAGGGAGTACTGGGCTCATGCACCTTCATAAATCCATAGTCTTTGTCAGCAGGGTGGTAGGTGGCCAGGATATTTGTTTCATCCCAGTGCTGAGATTTTTTCCTGGGGTGGAAGGACACAGAAAAGGGAGATGAAATCTAGCAACCTCCTCACAGCCTTCCACATTCTTTCATTTAAAACTTTTTTCTTGTACCCCCTTGTTACAGAAGTGCAGGAAGCTGGAGATGGGTCATACCTAATGATAATCAGTACTCGTATCCAGGGTTTATCCTGTGCCAACTGTGCTCCCAAAGGCCTGGAATCTCAGATTTCCCAAACAATTGCCCACACCTACTCTCACTTCTAGTTCTCAGGACTCCGCCCCTTCCTTCCTTGTTCCGTCCCCTCCAGTGCCCGGAACCCCGCCTTCCCCGCTCAGTGTAGCAAGCCAGATGAGCTGGGCTCCTTACTTCGCAGCGGGGGTTTTCTGCATCAAGGTGGATCTGCTGTTTTTTAGGATGCTCCGGAGCTGGTCTTCACAAGGTTTGTGGGGGTGCAAGCAAGTTAACCCGGAGCGCGGACTGTATCCCGAGTTGTACACCCCAGACACCCCGGACCTAAAGCTGGGCGTCCCGGATACACTGGTTCCAGGATTCATTGCAGCGGGGTTTAATTCGTCAGGGTATGTGCCGGACCAAAGGCTGTGGTCCTCAACTTCCCCAGTGTGGTGGTTGGGCCCGGAACCGAGGACTGCCACCCCCCCTGGAGAGCCAGCTAGAACCAGGACTTCGAATTACGCTTCCCTCAGAGTGCAGGCGGGGCCCATAACCGCATGACAAAGACTGCGCCGGAGGGCAGTCCGGCGCCTGCCTCTACTCCTCTGGTGCTTCCTGGCACTCCCCTAGGTTCCCCAGGGGATTCCACTTTGGGGCCGCCATTAGCCCCTTGAGCCTTCCGCTTCTCTGCGTTCCTCCCAGGGGACCACTCTCAGCTACCCCTTCCCACCTCTCAGCTCCACATAGCCCCGCATCTAAGGCCCCGCCCTCACCGCGCTGAGCTCGGGACGCTGGGGCTGAGGCCCGCGTCTGGAGCAGCAGTGGGAGGGATCACGGCGGTATATAGGGACCTTTCGCTTGTCCCTCCCTTTCTGTCCCACCCAAAGACCTTTGTTTCTGGGAATTGTTTCCGCCCTTCTGCCCCATCACCGCCCTCATCTGGATCCAACCTTTAGGCTTCCGTCGGAAAGTTGGTTAGGGGGCATGCTAATAAATCTGAGGGATTTTTCAGGACCGTTAGCGCCTTTGTTGAAACTGTCTGCCGGGGTTTCCCTGAATTCTGTGCGAGGCTTCAAATCCAAGAGTTTGGTTGGATTGTAGTTCAAGGTGGGCTTGATCAAAAACATCACGACCCTTTTCTCCCCTCAAAATCGTCCCGCCTTGCCTCTCACGAGAAGTGTGATACAAATGGAGGATTGCGACATTGTTGCAAGACATATTCGGTCTCAGTTGTGTGGAGGGCAGAGATTTTTATTTGTAAAATTACTAGTTCCCATTTCGGTGTCCTCCAGAGCCCCTTTACACCGCTTTGAAGCGTGGAGCACGAAAGTAAGACACGGCTTCATCCTGCCGTAAAGCGATGTTTTTCCTCAAGGTGTCGCCTGCCTTGACAAAGGCGGGGTCCGCGGTGCCGCTGTCGCAATGCTGAAAGTGGGGGCCAGCACCTCTTACGTCGTAAAGATGCCTGCGGCAGTCGTTTCCCCCACTGTCGCAAAAGCCCCCTGCCCGAGTCTTCATCCCTCAGGGAGTCCTTCAGTCACCTCGCCGCGCCGTAAAGCAAACCTTCCTGACCCCGTCGTCCTGTTCTCACCGTCGTAGTCATTAGTTCTATAACCCCAGATGCTTCATTGCCCGGCAGTGCCGTAAAGCATATCCGGCCACAGTCCCCGGTCTATTTCCCTCTGGGTGTCTGTGCACCGCGGTTGCCACGGTGCCGCCAAGCGCGACTGTCGCGCGGCCCCGGTGTCAGCGGCGATGGCAGCGGGGTCGGGTGGGATTGGGGGATCTGGGGGAGGCCCCGGGCCGGGGCCGGGTGGGGGTGGGGGCTCCAGTGGGAGCGGCCCAGGACCGGGGTCCAGCGGGGGCCTGGGCAACGGCGGGGAGCTGCACCCGCGCACTGGACGCTTGGTGAGCCTGTCGGCCTGTGGGCGTACAGCGCGACGGCAGCAACCGAGCCAGGAGTTTAACCACGGGCTGGTGTTGAGCCGGGAACCCTTGCGCGATGGACGCGTCTTCACCGTCCGCATCGACCGCAAGGTGCAGAGCTGGGGCCGCTGAACCGAAATTTGGAGGGTGGTGGGAGGGGACCAGAAGGAGACAGATTAGGGCAGCCAGGGTAGTCCACATCACCCAGTACTGAGAGGGAGCCCACAGACTTTAGGACACCAGGTGATAGGCAGGAAGGGAGCATGAAACAAATATTCAGTCTGAAGGAGGAGGCAAGGAGAGTTTGAGTTTTCTGGAGACAGGAGGCCTCACCTACTAGAATGACTAGGAAACAGACCTGGAACAATTTTGGGAGATGGAGAGATGTCAAAGATGTGATGGGAGGAAAAGAGAACCAAGGAAAGAACAAACCATTAAGGGATAAACTCAAGGACTGGGCCTGAAAGATGGGTGTGGAGAGATGCTCAGGGAAAGGGAGGTGTGTGTGCTTGTGTGATTTAGTGAAGAGGAGGCTAGGTGCAGAGATGGAAATTGGGAAGAGCATGAATCTGAGTGGACCCAGAGCCTAGGAGTGAATTAAGTGAGGGGGGGGGGGGACTGGGGATTGATATATAAGGGCAAGGAATACCAGCAGGGACAGCTGTGAATTTGAGTGGTTGAGGAGCCACAGAGACTAGGTAGCTGAAGCTAGGGAATTAGCCCAGCATGGTGGGATAAACAGTGGTGTCCATAGACGCTGAGCACTCTGTACTCTGCAGAACATAAGTTAGAGTTGCTAGGGGAAAGCAGATCCAAAAATCCCTGCAACAGAGCCCAGAAAATTACTTGTGGGATTGCAACTCTGGATTGGTGTCTCAGGTCTCAGAGAGAGAAAAGCCAGTTAGTTGTCTGAGAGATGGGAAGAAAGGGACACAGTGGCCTTTGAAATGTGGTTTCCAGGTGGTGGGAGACCCATGCATGGTCCATCCTAAGCCTCTGTCAACCACCCCTATGACAGGTCAACTCCTGGAGTGGCTCCATTGAGATTGGGGTGACGGCACTGGACCCCAGTGTGCTGGACTTCCCAAGCAGCGCCACGGGGCTCAAGGGGGGCTCATGGGTAGTGTCGGGCTGCTCGGTTCTGAGGGATGGACGTTCTGTACTGGAGGAGTATGGTCAGGACCTGGACCAGCTTGGCGAAGGGGACCGTGTGGGTGTGGAGCGCACAGTTGTTGGGGAGCTGCGGCTCTGGGTAAATGGGCGCGATTGTGGTGTGGCTGCCACGGGCCTGCCTGCTCGTGTCTGGGCTGTTGTGGACCTTTACGGCAAGTGCACCCAGATCACTGTGCTACCCTCTGAGCCTGGCTTCAGTCCCGCTACTCCCATCCCCACACCTCCCCTTGAGCCTTCTGCCCCCACTGAAGATTCTGCCTTGGCTGACCAGGGGACCTCCGGGGATGAAGGTGAGAACACAGCCAAGGCAGTGGTGGAAAGGGTGGGCCTGAGGGAATGGCTGAAAGAATGGCGGAAATGTAGTGACAAGTGAGGCCGGATGTGGGCAGGGCTACTTAGACCCCCGAGTCTGTTGAAGGGGAGATTAGAGGGTAGAGGGGGGGTCTCCTGGATGTGTGCCCTGCAGCAGGGGCTGAACCCTTATTCCCGTCCCATCCCGCCTGGTCCCCAGCCTTCATGGTATCCCCAGCGCAGGCCCGGCCGGAGACGTTTCCTAACAGCCTCGAGTCGCATAATGGTGAGGGCTTTGGGGAGGCCCTGGGAAAGGGGGTGGGAAGTGAGGTGGACAAGGGGAGGGACCTCAGAAGATGGGTAGGGAGAGAGCAGTAAGCCTAAGTGGTTAGAGCCCCATTTCAACTTCCCTCCTTTGTCCTGCTGCTGTAGACTTTGGCAGCATGGAGTTCTCTGAGGTGGTGAGCAACGCCATCCTGTCTGCCTACAACGGGGGTCTCCTAAATGTGAACCTGAGCTCCCCACCTTCAGGGGAAGGGCTGGGGTCCAGTGGTGCTGCCACCTCACCCATCCTCACTTCCAACGATGCCCTGCTCTTTCACGAGAAGTGTGGTACCCTCATCAAACTCAGCAACAACAATAAGACAGCAGAGCGCCGCCGACCACTGGACGAATTCAACAATGGGGTTGTCATGACCAACCGCCCACTCCGGGACAATGAGATGTTTGAGGTGTGCATGATACTGGGGTCCGGCTGGCATCTCACCACCTGGGAGCTAAAGATGGGGCTTGGTTCTTGGTGTTGGAAGGGTGGGGTCTGGGAAGAACCAAAAGGGCTGAGGGTCCTGTCTCTGCATTTACATTCCTTGCCTCTCCCTTCTGCTATCACTCCACCCAAGATCCGCATCGACAAGCTTGTGGATAAGTGGTCAGGCTCCATTGAGATTGGTGTCACCACTCACAACCCCAACAGTTTGGAGTACCCAGCCACCATGACCAACCTGCAGTCAGGTACTAGCCCTGGCGGAGTGGGGGCCCAGTCTGGGTGGCGGAGTTGAGGGAATTCTGCACCCTAACCACAGTGTCTGCTTTCCCCTAGGCACCATCATGATGAGTGGCTGTGGGATCCTGACCAATGGCAAGGGCACCCGACGGGAGTACTGTGAATTCAGCCTGGATGAGCTGCAGGTGAGGGTAGTGCACAGAACCAGGGCCACTTTCTGGGGGCGCCCAGGTTTCTGGATCCCTGCCTGGGTACCAGGGTCTCCTCTGTGATCTAGAGCAAGGTCCTTTATCTTTTTTTTTAGTATTTCATCATAGTTTTAATATAATTTTAAGGACTACATAGTTCATTCTGTTAGATACTAAAGTTTTTTACTTTACTAATCCCTTATTGGACAGTCAGAAGTTTGGGTTTTTTTTTTTGTATCATTAATCTACAATTACACGAGCAACATTATGGTTACTAGACTCGCCCCATCACCAAGTCCCCCCCACATACCCCATTACAGTCACTGTCCATCAGTGTACTAAGATACTATAGAATCACTACTTGTCTTCTCTGTGTTGTACAGCCCTCCCCGTGCCCCCCCCCATATTACGTCTGCTAATCGTAATGCCCCTTTTTCCCCCTTATCCCTCCCTTCCCACCCACTCTCCCCAGTCCCTTTCCCTTTAGTAACTGTTAGTCCATTCTGGGTTCTGTGAATCTGCTGCTGTTTTGTTCCTTCAGTTTTTTTCTTTGTTCTTATGCTCCACAGATGAGTGAAATCATTTGATACTTGTCTTTTCCCACCTGGCTTATTTCACTGAGCATAATACCC